CCCCCTGGCTCCTTTAAGGAGGGCAATGGGGGTGAAATTCAGAGAAACTAGCGTTGAGGCTACTCCTCCTCATCTGACCACTCTCCCTCTGCTGTCAACTTCATAGCATCCGACCTGATTTTTATGAATGAAGCTGGGGCTCTCCCTATAGCTCCTGGAAGGTTCTGGTTTCCCATCTCAGTCCCGGCCTCATTAAAATGAACTAAGAGGGTGTTCTGGATGCTCAGAACTACACTATAGAGGGAAGTACTACCCACCAAAAACCAAAAGAACCTTGTCTCCCTCACTCGGGATACAACACTTCCAATAACAGAATTGAAGATGACATTGATTTTTAGGATATCTACCATGGACCATGAGCTCCCTGAGGGAGGGGGATTGCCTTTTGCTCATCTCTGTGTTCCTGGCATATTGTGGGCATGTTGCAAATGCTTTCTCATGAAATCAGTGGCTCCCAGCTTTCTCATGAAATCAGTGGCTCCCAGCTTTCTCATGAAATCAGTGACTCACATGGAGGATGCAGCTAAGGAAACCCCCAGGGCCTTCCTTCACTTGCACTGTGACCTAATCCTGACTTAGGCAGTTGGGTCTGGGACCACAGGAAAGGGTGGAACATTTATCCCCATGGCAACCCATCTTGCTGGAAACCAGCTTCTTTAGATCTTCCTGGCCAGCTTAGAGCAATGAGCCACATCACGCTGATGACCCCAGATTAAAGTCTCAGTTCTAGCCCCTGACGAGCACCTCATTCCTGCAAACTCATCAGTGGAGGGCCACGCCAGCTGGCTGGCTCCCCTGCAACTGAGCTGAACAATAGGAGCCAGGCTTGGCACATTCAGCGTTGTAGACAGTCTCCCATGGCCCAGCTGGGTGTGAGGGCACTGAGTTCACAAGCCTCTGACCTCTGTACCAGCCACCATTTCACATCCAGCCTCCAGAGGCCCAAATATTTTGGCCAAGAGGGCTCCCACCCCAGTGGGCTGTGGGTACCAAGACCCTCAGCTTACTAGGGAAAGGAGAAGAGCCCTATTTGGGACCAGAGCCCCATCTCATAGGACCCTGTGCAGGAATGTTAGTTCCCATTTTCCAGGTGAGCAAAGCACAGTGGGACAAGCTTAGACCGTCAGAACACGGAGCAAAGCTCAGCTCTTGATTCTTGATTCTCCGGGCCCCAGGTGTGCCTGCTGTCCAGTCTTACCCTCCTTCCTTAATTTCCTCCTAGAATCAGTTCTGTTCCCTCCAGACTCAGGACCCCACTGTACTCCTGGTTCTAGCCTGTAGTTAAAAATCATCAAACAATAACAACAATAGGAACAGGTCCATTTACTGAGCCCTTTCTACACACCAGACGCTATTTTGAGGCCTTCGTTTATGTCATCTATGTCATCACCCTGCCAGAAGGTATACTCTTTCTCCTTCTCTGCACAAGAAAACTGAGGCCCAGAGAGGGTGAGTCCAAGGCTACATTTCCAGGAAGTGTCAGGTTTAGATTCAACCCGGGTCTGTCTGAACCCAGGGACCACGGGCCTGACAGCACAGGACTCATCTCAGAAGTAGCCATTGCCAAGACCCCTTCTCTGTCAGGGAGGCAGACATAGGGACCCAGCAGAGCTGCCCACGCCTCCCTGGGGACCAGCACAGGCCAGGCCCAAGATCACAGGTGCAAGGGAGATTCTAGCACTCTGAAAATAGCCCCACGGCCTGGCAGTGTCTCTCTGTTGGAGAAGGTTCTGAACAAAGCCCTGGAATTTCCAAGACTGGGCCTTCCCTGTCGGCAGCCTCCTGCACTTGTGCGTCGTCCCAGCAGCTGGCCTATGGGAAGATGTTCAGACAGGCTGATTGTTCCCAGGAATTTATTCAGAAAGTATTAGCCGGGGGCCTAGACTATTGGCACCTCTATCATCTCCAAACATCCTCGAGTCTGAGCCAGTGTGCACAGCCAGGCTGGGAGGTTACTATGTTCAAACTGGAACCAGAGGAGTACACAGGCTAGTAAGTAACAGGGCGGGTGAGGCCCAGCCTGGGTGCGGTGCCGAGCCAGGCCATCAGAGAAGGACAGCTCTTGGGGGTCTTCTAAGCTCATCTTCAGCTGTAGCGGGAAGCTTGGGCTTACAGAGAGGCTGGGCCATGCCCAGAGAAATGGAGCTGGGATTCAAACTGGGGTCTTCTGGCTGCTTCCACGATTATAGGATACCCACCTGTGCAACCTGCTGGCCCATGTCAGGGACTGACTTTAGAATCAAGGTTAAGAATTGATCTCCGAAGGAGCAGCCCAGAGGGCTCAGCAGAGATAAAGCTCTGAAGCGGCCAGCTGAGCTCCCCCAGGGGGCCAAAGAGTAGTTTACAGAAGGAGCCACCTTCGAGTAGGAGATGGAGGGGGAGGTTGTGTCAACCATGGACAGCGGAGCCAGAAATGGAAATTCACTGGTACAACTTTCCCACCCCTTAGCCTGGCATTCAAGGTCTCCTGGGCTGGGCCCCGACTTGCCTCTCCACCCTTATCTCCACTTGGCTTGCCCTCCGGCCAGCCCACACCCCTCGTATCTGAGATGATCCCGTGTGCATTCTCAAACGACAAGAATGCCTCCTACCTTCTCGAGGCTTGTCCATGCCCCTCCCACCCCAAGGGGCTGAGCTCCAAGCACAGTCCCCCTCCCCATCTTGCCCACACAGCCCCTCCTCAGGCCTTTAGAGCACTGGTCACCTCTCACATCCATTTCCCACTTCATCAAAATGTTGCTCAGAAAGAGTAGCTGCTACCTTTACTAGGAGCCCTGCTCCATGCCCAGCTTTCCACGAGCCTCGTATGACATCCCATCCTCACCCTCAGAGATGAAAACCATTCTTTCCACTTGATGGATGAGGACACTGGGGCATATGAGGCCGCCCCAAGTCCCACTGGCAGGAGCTGGAACCAGGGACTGCACAGCCAAGGCCTCGAACCCCTAGACTACCCCCCGCCCAGCAGCAGCACCCTCTCTTGGTCAAGTTACTGCCGGGGTGCCCGCTGTCTCTGGGTGGGCATAAGGCTTTGAGGGCTTGGATCATTTCATTCATTTACTCATTCAGTGGAAGTCTGTTGGGTACCTGCTACCACATTCCTAGGACCTAGACCTTATTTGGGGCGTTCGAAATAGAAGGAGGAGCAAGCCACAGTCTATGCTCTCGATGTGCCCCGGTCTATTTGGGTGACCGATACACAAAGAGATAAGTGAGCGAACAACTTGGGTGGGGTGATGTGCCAGGTTCTGAGGAGAGAAGCTGCCTACAAACTGGAGCCTGTGACAAATCGGCTGTGTCTGTGTCCTCAGCACCTGGAGTATCACCTTGCACGCATGCAGCAGGCGCTCACAGTTGGTGGCAATGGCCGAGGGAGCACCCAGTGTTAGCTGCAAAACATCCAGCTAGCCGATGTGTCCAATTGGCTATCTGGGATGCTTTTAGTTTCAACGAATACTTAAAACCGTGAAAATGGTGTGTGGTGGTGGGACACTTTGGGTGACTAAAGCTCCTTGCAGGCAGACCTGGTGATGAATATATTGGTGGCCCCTGCAGAGCCTAGTACTGTGCCTCACCCTGGGAGGAACCCGATAACTACTGCTGATTAATGATACGGCCTCCTGCCATCTAGGGACACACTGTCTCGGATAGTAACTGGGGACATGCTGGGTGGTGCAACCTAGGGCCTCAGTGTGTCTTTCATTCATCATTTCCCCATCTGCTAAAAATACATGGAATCTGCCTTTCCTCCCTCCCCGGGGCCAACCACACACGGAAGAGTGTCATCTTGGGATCATGCTTCCCATTTCTCAACCAAAGCAAGTGTCCAGGGCAAATTCTGAAGCAAACAGCTGGGGCCCAGAGCCTATGGGACTGGTCACAAGCTATTCCCTTTATTTGGTTCCAAATCCTTACCATGCCTGCCTCTGACCACCTGGAGTCACAAGCTAGAGCCACTGCCAGGTAGGATGATCCAGTGAATAGAGAGAAGTTTCCAGAGCTGGGGCCCCCTCTTGCCAGCTTCTTCCTCCCCATCATTTTTCCATGCTCTGCAGGGCACCCCTGAACTCATTCCAGCAAGGGCCCCGGACTGGAGTGGTTTGGGCGCCCAGGAGCCAAGGACCTCAAGAAGGAGCTAGGGGCTTAGCACCTTGTATCCCGCCCTCAAGCCACTTTTTCCAGGGCTCTGACCCTTTCACTGGGCTGTGGTTGGTCTCTAGACTCACACCCCAGGCAGGTAGGTCATCTGTCACCCTGCTCAGGAAAGGGGAGAGAGCCTGGCTACTTCCCCTGGAGTTTCCTCCAGGCCCCTCTCCCACTCTACCCGGCATCTCGTGGCCACGACCCCAGGAGGCAAGGCCTTCATCCCAAACCCCCAGGCCTCCTGCTTCAAGGATTGGACCAGCTTCTGGTACCTAATGACAACATCCTACCTAGGCTGGGCACTCTGGTGCCTCCACCAAGTCGAGAGTGGAGTTCCCTCTGGCACTAGCCACTCTTGGTGTGTGTCTGTTCCAGAGTCTTTGTCCCCAAGAGCGCAGGGCCTCCCAAGTCTGTCAGGGAACCCATATCCTCTCTCCCCTTTTGGCCCAAAGGTCCCTGCCCCAAGGCTCAGGGTGCTGGAGTTAGGGTCACTGTGTGTCTGGCTGTCACATCCCGAGCACTTCTGGCGCCCCTTCCAGAGCTCTCCAGATCTCCACCTCTTCCTGCAAACCATCAAAAGATGAGGGTTTCTCGCCCATTTCAGGGTCTCAGATTCTGTCCTTCTACCTGTGCGCCTATCACTGCCCCGGGACCAGCCTCCATTTCCCCCTTTCCATCGGGAACTCCAGTCCTTTTCTGCCCTGAACCCTGTCCAGACCCTTCCTGCGCTCCAGACTCGCTCACGTGCTTCCCTTCTCCCGCGGCGCGTCCCCGCTGCTCCATCCCAGCCCCTGTCCCGGCCGCCGCTGCGGGCAGGTGGCCTCCCCAGTCAAACCCCGGCGCATCGGGGGGCTCACCGCCGCCGTTCTTGTAGCAGAGGTAGGGGAAGCGCCACACGTTGGCCAGGTCCACCGCGAAGCCGATCACCGACAGCAGGAAGTCGATCTTCTTGCCCCAGGTCTCCCGGGGCTGCTCGTCGCCGGCTCCGGACGCCAGGAGACACTGGACGCCGTTGCGCTCTTTCACCACCAACAGCTCCACGGCTTTGCGCCCTTGCCCGGGCGGCTCCGGCCCCGGGGCCGCCCCGCTGTTCTCGGGCTGCACCTGCGGCTTCATCCGCGCCAGAAGCATGGGTGCGGTTGGCGAGGGGAACCGCAGCGGTCCTGGGAGCACGCCGAGGTCCTGCTCGGGTGGAGGGAAGAGCCGCGGTCACTGGGCCATCCCGCCCCCCCGGAGCGCGGAGACACAGCGGCCGGGCGCACGGGCGGGCGCGGGGATCGCCAAACCCGAGCGCGTCTGTCGGAAGAATTTGGGAACAGTCGTAGCGGCGCGCGGAGCGGAGACTGAACCGAGAGGCGGAGACGGCCGCGCCGCGCCCCGTGGGTCTGGCCTGGGACCCGCCGCGCGTCGCTCCTGCGCCCGCTCCCTCTCGCCCCCAGATGGCGGGGCCGGGACGCGCGGAGGCTGAGACGCTGCCCAGGGCGGTGACCAAGACGGTGCCGGTCGCCGCTCCCTGTCCCCCGCCCCCAGCTCCGATCTGTGCCGCGTCCAGCGGCCCCGGGAGTCTCCCGGACACTCACCCCTTGCACTGCAAACTCGCGGCGGCTCTGGCTCCGCGCCCTCGGCCGGGGCCTCCCCGGCGCACCTGGGCCGCGGCGCGCAGGGCGCACTCACGTGTCGGGCCTCGCCGCGATCCCGGTGCCCGCCGGGCGGCGGGAAGCGGGGCGCGGGGCGCGGGGCGCGGGCCGGGGCTGGGCTCCGCCGCGTGGCGCTCGGGCGCGGCCCGAGGACGCGGGAGGCGCGGGGCGGCCGGCGGGGCGCGGGCTGGCTGCTTCTGGCCGCGCCGGGCGGGGGCCGGGCTGGTAATGTAGCCTGCGCCCCAGGTAACGCGCCGATTGCATTAAGCCCGCGCCGGGCCCGCTCCGTCTGGAGCCTGTTAGCGCTAATGGGGACTGACAGCGCGGCCGCGGCTGGGCAGGGGCGGGGGCGCGCGCGGGCTCGGGGCGACGCGGGGACCCGGCGCCCGCTCCCTTTCCAGCCCGCAGCGGCGCGCCAGGCGCAGCTCCCGGGGGGCACCCGGCTCCGACTTCCCACCGCGGAACCGGGGTCAGAGCGGCGTCGGCGAGGGACCCGGGAGAGAGCAGGGAGAGCAGATGACCCGCGCCAGCACCCGCTCTGCCATCCGCCTCGGGCCGCTTAGACTGCCCCGCTGGAGTTTCTCCAGCCACAAAGTGGGAATGTTCTGTCCAGAGCCTACGGGTGCGCAGACCGCGCGCGGGCAGGCGGGCGGCCGGCGCGGGGCGGAGGGGTCGCCCCCCGGCCCTGACCTCCTCTGGTAGAGGCAGGCTAGCACGCATCTGCAGGGGTGCCTCCTGTTCCGCGAGGCCGAGAAACGGATCCGTTGATCCACGCCTTCGCTTACCTCGTCCGCATCTGTGCCTACATATGCCTGCTATGGGCCAGGCACTGGTCTAGACTCTTGGGGTACATTCCTGCACAACTTAACCCCAAATCTCTGATGGGTGGGGTTTACATTCTGTGTGTGTGTGACGAGGTGGGTGGGACAGGTAGCATGATAAATAAACACGGCCTGTGGTATGTGGGAAGGTGATGTGTGCAAAGGGGAAAGTGGAGCATGGTAAGGGCATGAGGAGTGGGGTAGCGGGAGGGACGAGGCAGCTCTTCAGGGAGCTGGAGAAGGCAGCATTTAAACAAGTAAAGGAGTGAGCTCTTTTACCTGGTATTCACTTCTCTACTGGCCAGTTTCTTCATTTGTCAAATGACCACCCGCTCCGTGCCCGAACAGTGCTGGCTAGCGGAGCCCTGGAGATAGTGCCTGCCTCAAAGAGCTGCCAGTCTAGTGTGCGGAGAGTCCTTCACAACCCAGTGTGGTGAGGATTGTTTGTAACTGCAGGGGTATGGACACTGGCTGGAGCTGAATCAGCAAGTAAAGGGTGTGTGTGTGTGTGTGTGACTGGGGGTGGGGATAATCCAAGAAGGCATCACAGAGGTGACAACACTTAAGGGAGGTGGGCAGGAGTTTTGACAAACCCAGGCATGCTGACCTTCCTGTTCTTTAAACAGTCCAGGCCCAAATCCACCCCAGGACCTTTACACTTGCACTTCCTCTGCCTGAATTGTTTACATCTTAGTTCAGTGGTCCCTTCCGGACCACTCAAGTCTAAAATACACCCCACTCTCTGTATCACATCATTCTATTTTACCCCCTTCATTACATCAGTATACAAATTTATCTGTTTATGATATGTTTCCCCTTGGGTAGCATATGAGCGCCAGGAGGGCAGGGATCTTGACTGTCCTGTACACCACTGTATTCCTAACACCTGGAACATACTAGGGCACCAATTAGTATGGAAACTGAATGCATTCATGGTGGTGCATGGGAGTGTCAAGAGCCTTTTTGCCAGAGGGAAGAGTAGACATATCCTCTGTGAAGGATGTAGAGAGGGAGGGAAAATTAGTGGATGGTGAGTCTGCCCTGGCCTCCTGGGGGCTGATGAGTAGAGGCAGAAGGTCAGGGAAAGGATTGAGCCAAAGTTTCAGGAGAGTCTGGAGCCACAGGTTCTCATCCATCAAGGTTGGCAGTCCCCTTTGACCCATGGACTATCTTGACAAGCCCGTGAGGAAAGTAGGAATGAAATAGTCTTTCCATTTTCAGGTCAGGAAAGTGTGGCTCTGAGGATTCAAGGGACCTGCCTGAGGTCCACAGAGTGGAAATGACAAAGTTGCAATGAGAACCCAGGTCTCCTGGCTCCCAGCCCCTGTCACCTCCACCCATTGATGGGTAGAGACCCTCGGAGTCTCTCTAGTGATCATGTTTCCCTCCTCTGTTTTACCCCATGCCCCACCCAGCTGGTCCAGAGACTCCCACCTCTGAGCACCCTGGGAAGCCCAGCCTCCCCCCTCCCCCCACCCAGCATCCCCGTGGAGGATCTTCCCAGCCGGCCACCTCACGTCCAGTATCTTTCCAGCTGCATGATGTTCACCAGCCGCCAGAGCTCTTTCTAAAACTTGAGTCTGGTCACCTCACTCTTCTGCCTCCTCCTCTCCTCACCCGAGAGACAACACACCAGTGTGATTTAATTAACCCTGGATTTAAGGTAATTTTATTTTCTTCTTTATACTTCTATTTATCTTCCAACTTGTCTACAATGAGCATTTGATGCTTATGCAATCAGAAAAAGATAACCCACAATTTCTTAAAATCCTCCTATCTTTTCAAGATAATATCTAAATACCTTTAGCAGTACAGACAAGATTCTCTGTCTGTTTGATCAAATCTCTTATACCTTGTGCCTTTTTACACCTCTGGATTGTTAATTATGCTATTCCCATCTTCCTCTTGTCTACCTGGAGAACTCCTATTCATCCTTCAAAACTTCAGATGTCACCTCCACTGTAAGGCCCTCCCTGATAACCACCTCCCCACCACTTTCTTTATCCTGCTTTATATATTTGTCTAGTACAGTTATCAGTGTGACTTCCCTACTAGGGACAAGGACGGTGCCCAATATATCCTGCCACATAGCTCAGGCTCTAGAAGTGTGTACAAAACAGAACTAGAAGAGATCTCCACCACTTGTTGGGTTTAGTATCTTTGGTTCGGGTTGTTTACGTTGGATTCCTCCAGAAGCAGAATCTGAAACAAAGATTTGAATTTGAGCACTTTATTTAGGAGACAGTTCCTGGAAGCGCTTGTAGAGAGCCAGGAGGGCAGACAAGAAAGGGAACCCACAGAGCCGACATGAAGGAGCAGTTGCAGCTGTGGGCAGCTGGTGTTCAGTCCTGCCGGGGACCTCTGGGAGACCGTGCAGAGCATGCCTCTGTTGTCCCACTCCTGGAAGGAGTTGGAATATTTATCCATTTAGTCTGTGCCCAGGGTGTTAACTTGCCAGCATTTCCAGCCTGCCTGGTGTGTGGGCTGAGCATGCTCTAGTCGCCAGGAAAAGGCTTCTTCTAGCAGAGTCCCAGGTACTGGCAGTAGGGAGCTGGTGGTGGGGTGCATTGGCAGGAACAGGGTGGGAGGGGCACAGGAGTGTCTGCTACAGGGACGGAGGGAGGCATCCCCCCACTCATGCATGCCCTCAGAGGGCCAATGAGCAAGCCCTGAGAGTTCGCCTGGTGTTTCCGAGACTTCTGGGGGACAGCAGTGGGAACGCCAGGCTGAGGCTGGGCTGAAGGGGAAGGCGTTTCTCTCCATTTCTGGCCCAGACTCCCTGCCCATCACTCTAAGAGCCATGGGGCCATGTGGCTTCTCTCTGTACCCTGCATACTGCCCTTCCAGGTGGCCTGAGGGCAAGCGGGTGGGCAGACGGCTGGAGCATTATCAGAGCTAACCTGATCTCTGGGGAGGCGTCACTTCCACTTACCATGGCACTTGGTGACACAGGCCATGGGCACAAGGTGATGGCTAGTGCTGTCAGTCCAGCTCTGGGGACATCTCCCGGCAGACGCCAAGACCCTGACACACAAAGGATAGGCTGGAGGACATTTGGAATCCAAGGGGCTGGGTCTTGGGGGTGTCTTGAGGATACGTACCTTCACTGCAGTGATGGAGGGACTAAGGCCAGAGAAGAGGAGAGGTTTGCCTGTATATTGCCTTCCTTCCCTCCTTCCTTTTCTCCCTTCTTCCCTCCCTCCCTCCTTCCCTTCCTTCCTTCTTTCCTCTCTCTCTCTCTCTCTCTCTCTTTTTTCTTTTTTGAACCACAGCATTAGACCTACATCCTTGCAGCTGAACTGCCTTGGGGCCTTTGGTCCCTGATACAACTTATATTGACTGCATTTACAAATAATATCAATAAAAGACTCCCATAGGCTGAAATCTGTCTCCTCCAGAAACTGTCCCACAGGAGCCACCTTGGTCCTTGAGCTTCCAAATTACCCAGAGGGGCTCAGGCCTTAGACTCTTCTCTGCTGAGCTCCTACACCAATGGGCCACATCCAGGCACTGGCATTAAAGCAAATCCATCTGTCATTGATGTATGTGTTTACATCCTTTGCCTGGTTCTAACTACAGGTTGCACGTCTCTACACGGGTGATAAAAGGCATCTGGAACTACTGTGTCCATGAGAGAATTCTTATGCTCCCCTTCCTGATCCCCACAAAAAAGCTTCTCCCTCATTCCAGGTGATGGCATCTTCTTTCTTCTAGCTTCTCAACCCAAAAAACCTTGGAGTTGGCCTTGACTCCTCTTTTTCATACTTCCACATCCAATGAGACTACAAGCTCTGTGGGTCCAAGCTGCCTTTGCTCAGCCTCCACGGGGACTGGTCTGCCCCCATCGGAGCCCGGATTACTCCACAGC